AGCAGCTAAGACTCATCGAGCTAAATTAAACATTATTCAGCGTCAAGGTCTCAGACTGTGTACAGGAACATTGACAACTACACTAACAGCAGCAATAGAAGTGGAACTGGGTGAAATGCCTTTAGGTTTAAGAAGAACAAAACTAAATAAATTATTGGTTAAATATACAAGGCAGTAACTTGGATCATCCAACATGGGAACTTTTAAATCCATGCTGGGAAAAAGAAAAAAGAGAAATGAGCAGTTTTGGATGGACAATTGAAAAGAAAAGTAGAAATGTTAAAATGTATAGCTTAGTCAAACAACGACAATATCAATTGTACCACCCTGGATTCTACCAGAATCAATAGTAGATTTATCATTAATTGTAAAGAAAAAAATGTGTTATAGATAATTATTCAGTACAATATATGTAAACAATTATTATCAATATGGAGTATTGAAATATTTATAGATGCATAAAAAATAACTGAAAAAGTAGGAATAGCATTTGTAGAACCAGAATTTAATAGAATTAATAAACATGATTTGATTTAAAAATAATTGGACAGAATTTATTCCCCTTGTTAATCAATAATTTCTCGTTCATACTTTTTATTCATTGTTAGCTTTCAGGGCCTGTGATGGATTAGTGACTTGTCCAGGGTAAACCCCGCCTCTCATCTGTTGACTGATGAAGATGGGCCCACCAGCCCCCTGATCATTGCAACAAAGATCAGGGTCAACTCGTTCAGATCATGGACAGAAAGCTTTTAAGGTAATTATATCCACACTCAAAACAGCTTCATAGTTAATGCCAACATCAACTGATTCTATGATATTGCTGACTATTTTTTTCTACTTCTAACAAAGTAGTCAAAGAAGGCAAAGAAGTCACCTTGGAATGTTTTTTCAGCCCAGGCATCCAGTCCTAATCATCATCAGTTCTGATGATGCCACTACATAGCAAGTCCTCAAAGCCATGCTAAAATCGTAAGTCTTATTTTGTCTTTGCCTTTATTCTGTTTAATTGCGCTATTGTTCTCTTTTGTAGGTTTCTGTAAAGTGTAGTGGTGCAATGAATGTGAATGTTCTGTTGTTAATCCTCACCCTATTTAGGAAGGAAAAATGTCAGTTTGTCTGGAGTAATTCTGGAATACTGTGGCATTAAATTAAATCAATACTCTGTTCTTGGTGAAATATTTTTCACATGTCCTATAAAGTGTACCTATTGTTGTTTATAAAAGCAGGAGGCTGGCACGAGAAGATCTGGGTGTTTTAGCTGGTCTCAGAGGTAATAAAATTAACATTAAGAAAGCCCCCACAAAGGAAAAACACACCTTCTAATGCATATATTTAAATTTAGGGAAATACACAGACTTTGTTTTACAGCCAAAGTTCGAATTACTTTGTGCCTGAGCGAGCAATTCCCAGAAATGCATTTTTGACTTGTAAACTTGTACAGGTAACTTTTTATGTTCAGTCACATGTTCAACTTCTTGATAATCTGGGTGTAACGTTGGTTTGATATTCTGTATGCATTGAATTCTTTAGATAAAGCTCTTGATATATCTGAAATCTGATGTCGTATGATTGTTCTTTTTTCCCTGCACATGCTGAGACTCAAGAATCTGAGACACAGAGGAAAATTAACGAGCAAAGTGAAGATAATCCTCTTAAATCTTAACAATCTCACAGGACGTCACTAGTGTACAGGTACTTTGCTCTTGTGTGTAACTTAGAGAACTTTTGTGCTCGTTGTTTGAGAATCTGTCAACTTACGACACTTGGTATAAACCATTACCCAATTGGCCTGAATGGGCAAAGTCTCTAAAAATTTTGTCCCACCCATCTTCATGCAGTCTCGTGTCATTAGATGGACATTTGTTCCAGCAAGAAAAGGTTAAGGTAAAGTAATTTTATTTATATAGCACATTTTTCAGCAAGGCAATACAAAGTGCTTGTAGTTCTCATTGTTGGAAGCCTAGTCTGGACTGACTAAAGCCAAGATGTGACATCCTTGGCCTGTTCCACATGCATCTTTTGGGAACTGAACTCCCACCTCAACATAAGGGACCTTCTGCCCCACTGCCCCTTCAAAGTTGAAGGGGCAGTGTTCTCTTTTATAGAGAATAACTGTCGGTGGGAAAGGTAACTGGAGTAAAATGACTGAGATGTTATGGTAATTTTTGACCCAGTATAAAAAAGTGCATTTGCTCTGATCCAACCATGCTTCACTATCACAGGGCTTCCCCACCAGTCCAATGGGAATCTGAGGGATTTCTGCTACATTAGATGGTTTGGTGATACTCTGATTCAAAACAAGGGAACTAGTTTCACTTTGGGCCCCTGCTTGTTCAATAGCAGGAGCCCTTACTTGTTTAAAGCCAAGTTTGGCAGAGGGGTTTTGTGTTGTGGGTTTAGTGTGAGTTGATTCTGCCTGGTTTGATGTCTTGCACAGTTTCTTTTGCACCAGGACAGCATTGGTTGGATTGGTGCATTGAGGCAACAAATGAGCGTCGTCTACACAATCACAACAAAACTTTTCCAACTTTTATGAGTGCAACTGCTGAAGATGCAGAACTGCCTTTAATTCTTTGGTGGAACTTCCGTATTGGTTTTCTCTTCTTTGGAAGGAAGAGGGTGCTTAACAGACTCTGTAGTTCAGCCTCCAACTGCCTGATTTTCTCTTTCATTTGCTCTCTAGAGTAGATATCTGGCCCTAATGTGAGAGTGTTGCTAGGGCTCTGAGGCGTCACTGGTATCTGAAATGAGTCCTGGTATGGACTTTGGTTGAACTTGCCCCTATTTGTTGCTTTATCCTCATTTTTTTTAAATGGCTCTCTTTTTCATGTGTCCTTATTTTGAACAGTATTTCTGAAAACCTCAAGATGGTATGTGGGCTATAACTTGACTCTTTCAGATGCAGTGTAGTTATTAAGGAATCATCCCAACAGCCTTGAAGGAACTGCTTTAATAATTGAGAGTCAGAGTCCTGGTTAGCCACAACGCTGTTTTCTATAACTTCCTGTAGCAAAGTTTTAAGTCGACGTAGATAGTCGCCCTCCTATTTCTGATTTCTCTATTTCCTGAAAATAAGCACCTGGTGTGGCTTGTACTCCGATGAAAAGAGTCACATTTAAAGGTAAGCTATCAAGTGTCATACAGCGCTGCTGCCCTTCTGATAAGCTAATGTTGTTGATCACTTGCTCAGCTCGAAGTCGCCATTTGCTAAAATCTTCTTCTATAGGAGAATGTTGCCAGAAAAATACCATAGCTCTCCTGGAGGAGGCTGGTGCACTGGTGATTCCTGCTTTACAATATGTTCAACTAATTAATACAGACTAATTAATATAGTATCATTTGCTGCCTGTGAATGACTTGATGTTTTCATCATCTACGGCAGTTGGACTTGAATGGTTTGGTTTTGAATGCAGATACTAGAGTTGATGAAAAATGATACAAGGTTTCTTCCATCATGTTTTCCACAAATACGACTTGCATCTACCCGACTTACTGTAGTAAGATCCATTTTATATTTTAGGGCCAACTCGTCGACTTGTTCCTGAAAACTCAGGTCATGTTACCAATGGCACTTGCAAGAGGTACTACTTCCTGACTGAATGGTTATTTTTCACATTTAGAAATGCTTTGAACTTCAACCCCATTAAAAAATGTGCAAAAAGAAATTACTGGCCTCACAGAGATTTATCAATTTGAAGAAAAATGTTAGCAAAAGCAGAAAGCATTTCCTGTTTATCTTACCCAGTGAAACAGGGTAAGTTACTGGGTAAGTAACCCTGTGTTTTAACTGGGTTAACTTACTGGGTTAACAGTTGTTTACAAAGCACAACAGAGTTAATTAACAACTATTAATTAAAATTCTTAATTTTAGTCCCCTTATTCTCCTTACTCTTCAACATTAAAAAACTCCCAATAAAGTTATTTAATTTCCACAAATCTGGTTTCAAATCTACAAACACAATTTTTCACCCATTGATATCATCTTTGGAACAATGGAGACATTTCCTACAAACTTAAGTCTTTTTTCTTGGAAAATTGGTTTGAACATGGAATCATCTTAGTTCAACAGCTTTTTAATCCTGATGGTGGCTTCATGTCTTATTCTGAACTACTAAAAAAAGTTTGGTCTTCCCTTATCACCAAAGGAAAATGTGCTTGTTTTTGATGCTATCCCGTCTGGTGTTATAATACTTCTTAAGTCCTCCATAATTTCTGTACTGACTCCACCAAGTCTAGACCCTGCTATCTGTTTTTCCACTAAAAACCGAAGGAACAACCATGATGTATGTGACTTATTCCAGAAGGACATTGTCTCTGTTATACATGTTACCATTTATTAGAATATCTTTGCCTCCAAACTGAACTGGAAAAAAAATTGCTGTCTTCCGTATTTAATTATTAATAAGGGCAAAATAGTGTCTTTTAAGGTGACCCATTGTTTTTCCTTCAACATGACAAACAAGATATTGACATGAACTGTTCATTCTGTCAACCACATGAAGAAGATCTCTGTCATTTATTCTGGAGATGCCATTTCTCATGTATTGTCTGTCAAAATATCTGTACATTTATTTCCCAAAAAATTCTTGATGACTTTTCCTTCACTTATATAATAAATATGTTGTTTGGATTCTTCTCCTTTCCCACTAATAAAACAAAACGTTTTTATGTTATCAATCTAATTTTATTAGTTGCAAAATGCATACATCTAAATTCTCAAATCAGAAATCTTGCTTTTGAGCCTTTAAAGAGTAATTCAAACACTATATTAGAAGTCTTCGGAATTCAAAAACCAGAAAAGCCATTAAAATAGCAGATATGTGCGCTCATTTTAACATCTTTCTGAGTTAACTTTTTGTGTATATATATACACTTTTGATTTATTTGTGCTTGCCATATATAACCCCTGTCATTCCGTTTTGTTATTTGTTAGTGTTGTTAATTTTGCTGTTTGTAAATCCGTTTATTATCAATAAAGAAAAAAAAGGTAAGGAAAGGCTCTTCCAGTTCTTCTAGGGACTTAGCCTTGCTTGTGGTTTACATCTCGTACCACTAGCTGGAGATCCAGTATGCAGATAATCACAAAGCAACACTTGTTTCGGACGACTTCGTTGAACATGAAAATTTCCTAGAATCACAAATCTCACAGGAGCTGTCAGAAGGCGTAGAAAAGAAAAACACTGGAGATATTAGTAGGCCGGCGTAGCCCAAGTGCTCCCCTTTTACTGGGTAAGTAGTTGTACCCCAAAGCTAATAAGCTAACATAGGAGGCTACTGCGCAGTGGTTATTTAGGAATGTGTTTATCTGCTGTAAGTTTACTTGTTAAGATACGATTAAGAAAGAAGCGGCTTAATTAACGCCTGAAGCTTAGTAATAACAATTCACTTGGCCATCAAGTATTAGGTAGACAAGGTAAACATTGCGCTGCAGTGAAAACAAGCTTGTTAGCCGGGTGGCTAGCACGCTAACTTACTTGATCGTGATCGTTAGTTCTGATGCTGCTCGTCAGCTTCTTGGCCAAAACAATCCACATCTAACGGGTTGAAAATATGAGGATTGTTTCGTTTTTTTATATATATATAAAAGTACCCGTTTTTTACATAGCTTAGTAAATGGCCATACTAAGTGTATGGCCAGTTACATTAAATCGGTATTTTAGACATAACAATGGTAGCTGAATATGTTATTCCAATTGATGTTGAGGTTAAGTGGTATAGTAATGCTCACATGGTCCTCTACTTTAAATAATTATTTCAGTCGAGCTTTTCAAATACTTTCTCATAAGTTTGTGGAAAAAAATAATTGTTCACAAAGCTACAAAAATTTAGGTTTCCATTTGTTAAATTGTGTTTTATCTTGGCTCTCAAGCAATGTAGATTTGTTGTCAGTTGGAACTTAAAAGCAGTGTTTAATGTTGATTTAGTTTGGGGACTAAACACTTGAAAAACAGCTCCAGGTTAGGAGAATTACACATAGGGCCAGAATGATTTAAGTAAATTTTTACTTTAATGAATGTAATAATTTGAAAAGTGCTTTTTTGTATTTATTTAGATTATCTTGAGCCCATATTAATATTTATTTCATAATCTAAAACATTCAAACAAAAAAAATCTAAATCAAAAGAAACATATAAGGCTGCATGCACTTTTTAACTCTAGTGTGGGGCCCTACTCTTTTTAGAGGCCTACTGCTTGTGAAGAAATGGGAGATTAATAACAATTCACTTGGCCAACAATTATTAGGCAAGTAAATATTTTGGCCACATCCTCATTTTTTTTTTTTAAATTAAAGTCTTTTATTTTTATTTAAACAACACAGTCCGATCCCAAAGACACCACACCCCAACAATACCAGATCTACTACCCCAACCTGCACGCATTTTATTCTTGTAAAACTACCTTTGCAAGTTTAATGTTTGTGCATAAACTACAAATACTGAATGTTCAGAATTTGGAGATATGGACAGGTAAGGCAAGCTAAAATTTGACCACCACTGTATAAGAACACAGAAGTGTCCAGACTGGTAGTGATGGGCAGATGAGGCCTCACTGGGTGTATGGCACATTTCCCAAACTGTATCGACATTGTTGAAACTGTGTTGCCATGTCACTTGCAGTGACATCTGCTGGATTTAGAAAGCCATTGCAGGCAAATTCGACAATGGTGGAAGAGTTAACTGGTTCCTCCCCCTCCTGGCGGGCACGATGATGCCTCAGCATTGTGAAAGTGCTCTGATTACAGTAAGACTAAACTTGGGAGCAAATCCCACATTTTTCACCTACATTTTAAATAAAAGTTAAACCGTGTAAACACACTCAAATATCCCATGGAAAGGAATTTGAATAATCTGAAAGAAAACTGATCAAAAGTAGAAATGACAACAAAATATTTCTTTTCTGTGATAAGATCAAAATGATCCCACACAGGAGAAAACTTCCTCTTCCTTGGTTGATCCGTATCGGTCGTCAAATATGAACCAAAAACCAACGCAAAGAACAGAAAGTATCTCTATCCATCAAAACCTACAAACCTGTCAACACAGTTTCTTCCTCGTCAATACAGTTTGGCGCGGCCACATCCAAATGACACAGGAATTGTATCGGTCACATGGTTTTCATTAAAGTGATACATGAACTGACACAAGGTTTCATCTTGTTTGTTCACCACATGTGCCGAGGTTTCTGTGTCGTCTGGCCCATCACTATAGACTGGACCAAGAAATATTTGAAGACAGATTTTAAGGTTTAAGGATGGATTGAGAGGATCAGATGGATGGTGCTGTGGGTGGATCAGTAACGGGCACAGAGCTCCATTTCTAGTTGAATGCCAGCAAGGTGGAGGTGGGGTACTAGTCTGGATTGTAATACTAAAGATCAGCTGGTTGGACCTCATTGAGTAAATATGAACTCAAAATCAACTCTAAACCTCCTACCAGTTTTTAGAGATTTTAGAGACCCTTTCTTAAAGTAATGGTTCAAGAAGATGTGTTCTTCAGGGTTCAGGGTTTTTTACTGTTAAGCTCAGAGTTTAACAGTAGCTCTGAGCTTAACCTTTAGCTCTGGTATCGGAGTTCTAATTCAGCTGATTGTTCAGGTTCAGAGTAATTACTTTTAGAAAAATATGGCCGTGTTGCTTAAGGTCTCTGTGTTACTTCATTTTATTACTTTTGCATGCTTCTTTTGAAGGGCTCAATCGGACGGTGTTTACAGCAGGCATTCAGGTGGGTCAGTTCCTCAGCTGTCCAACTCTGCGCTCTTGTTCCCATACACTTGCTCTTTCAGGCTGAATTTAATGGAAATAATACAGGACGACTCCTTTACCTTCGTTTTTAGGCTGAAGAAGCTGATGAAGGCTGCAAACTTTGTTGTGCGGCGTTAGCTTTAACTTGTAGCTTTAACTGGTTGCGACGAATATTTGCAAGCCACCGTCTTCTTAATTGAGGATCGCTTGGAAATCCATGAAAACTTAAAGTGCATACGACTTTGTCTTTTATAGCAGTCATAGTAACTGAAAGCTGACGTCAGCGTGGCAGGTGCAAAGAGTCCATTTTGTGGTTGATTTACAATTAGAAAATTTGTTTAATTCTAGTTATTTAGAAGAAGTTTTTTTTGGCCAGTAACTCACTAGTTAATCTTCATTTTGGAAAATGGGTGTTTCACATACAAATACCTAGAGATTAGGTAGCTATTTATGCACGTGGCTGGTCACGTGTTTTTTTTTTTTTTTTTTTTTTTTTTTTTTACCACGTGGTGGTGTTTTTCTCCCCTTTCTAAACAAGGGACTGAAATGAAACTGTTTTTACAGCCTGCGACTGAGGATAAACAGTCTGGCTTCTGGATAGACTTTGATAGTCTGGCTGCTGGATAGACTTTGATAGTCTAGCCAGCCACTCACTTCACCCAGTCAGTCATCAGTCACCTGGTGAGACATTCAAGTAGCCAAACAATAGGGCTCTGGTGAAGTTTGTACCATGCTTTACTTGCATCTATGGGATAAAAAAAGAACTACATTTTTGACTTTTGATGCTTTTTGGAACTGCATAATGTCCTTGCCGTGACACTCCCCGCCCCTTTCCTTCACTCTCTACTCTCTCAGTCACTACTTCCTCTTCTGAGAGGGGAGATGTGCTACCAGCTCTCATCTAACGGGTAATTTGAGTTTCCTAAATCTGCTGGGATTTACCCTATCCAGAACTGAAGTGAACTCTGTTTAAGCTGGTTTCGAGAAAGGATTCGCCTGATTTCTACGACCTCCATCCAGATGTCTCACTCTTCTTCCCCCTGTTCATTAGCCAGACTGAGCAGTCTACCGCCAATTAGTTTCACAGAGCACATCTGTTAACGGTCGCTCCTTCTCTTTTTTACAACTTGCACTTGTTACTAAACCAGGTTGGTTTTAGTGACTCGGGCGAGTCCCAAGGATGTTGTTTTAAATTTGGGCTAAAGCAACCTATAAAACATTACCTAGTTTTCTTCCCCAGAATCAAACATCATAGCCATTTTACTACCATCAAAGAACTTGTGAGGTAACTCATGAATTGAATGTTAACAACATCTTTTAGTTTCTTTATGCTAAATATTTTATTAGTAAAGCAATTTTGCAAGGGTCAGTACAGCTTAATTAAGTAGCAGAAATAATCAAATAAGTAAAATCAATTATCTAGCCTATCTTTCCCTAACGCTGATACTGAGAACTAAAAAGGGAACCTTTAGAGAGACGGGCAAAGGATGGTGTTTTTTACCCCAGAACTGGCTCGATGATGAAGAAGATGTTGCAGCAGGAGAAGGAGGTTGATTGACAAAGGCAGGGATCTCTGTTGGAGCTGTCATCTCTGTATCGATGGTGAGGTCACACAGGACTTGGGTCTTTATCTTTGCCTTGATCTTCATCTTTGCCTTGGTCTTCATCTTTTCCTTGGTCTTCATCTTTGTCTTTGGGGTCTGAACCCAGCTGATGGCAGAAGTGCGATTTGAAGCCACATGTTGCGGGGTTGACGGATTGGTCCCCATGCGCAGGACAGTCTTTGGCTCTGTGGCCCCGGCTCTTCTTCAGCTGCAGAGTTCTTTGTCCATCTCGGTCTTGACTCGAAGCTGCCTGAAGGATCCAACCAAAGATTCCTCTTTTGCTCTCACCTTGTATAGAGTTTATACCCGCTTTCAGTGCATTTTCATTGGCTAACATTGTTGCTGTGCTTGCTTTATTGGGTAACTTGTTTGGACAGATGAACTCATGTCATCTGTTCATCCATCAGGACAAAAGGTCTTCGAGGTCTTGTCCTGACTTCTTGGCTAATGTCTCAGGGTTACTCAATGTTCCTCCCATGTCCTTTCTCTGATTGAAAGCTTATGCTTAGTAAGACAAGAAGTAAATGTACTTCAATAATAATAATCCGTGTAAGAATAATTATGTACATGTTTACAGATGAAGTCAGTACTGGTAATATATTGAATTTTCCATCTAAAAATGGGTCTTATTTCAGAGTTCCCTTTAATGGGAGAAAACTGTCATTCTTTGTTGCAGAACACTGCAGAGATGCCTGAGGTCCGGGACCTTTCAGAGGCCTTGCCAGAGATGTCTATGGATCCAATCACTGGAGTTGGAGTAGTGGCTTCCAGGAACAGGGCCCCCTCTGGATATGATGTGGTAAGCCGTGAAGCATGCCTGAAACATATGAAATGATACAGAAATTTGAGCAATTCTGCAAAGTGAAAAAAGAAAAAGTAGAAAATATTTTTCATATTTAACAGGCAAAGAAATATATATTTTATGTAAATTATGCTCTAGAACGTAGTAAAATGTGCCTTTTTTTATTTCCAAGTGAACACATGGGACATAAACTTTTGATCCCTACTTTTGAGCCCTATTGGTGTTTTCTCACAACACCTCTCAATATGAGCTAGAGATTTTCTTAAGATATTCGTCCTTTAGAACAGTGGTCCCCAATCTCCGGGCCGCAGACTGGTACTGGTCCGTGGATCAGTTGGTACCTGGCTCCACAGGAAATAATTTAATATTTACGTTTTATGTATTATTTGATTCTCGAGGATCTTTTATGTTAAAAGTCCTTTAACCAGATTATGTCTTGTGTGCTAACATTGAGCCCACAAGCAGCAAAATTTGTAAGAAACAGATCAGATGTCTTTGGAAAGTTTCTTTGCGAAGGAAAAAGGCCCCGAGAAGAGACAGGAGAATGTATTTATTCCGGACCAGTATGTGATTCCCACATTCTAAGCCCACTCTAAATAATATGTGGCGACCGGCTCGCTGATGAGGCAATGAAGCCTTCAAATATTGTCGCCACGTAGAGACTAAGCACCCTGTGCATAAGCAACACTTCGGGAGTCATTGTCTCCCAGATGGGACCGTCTCTTTGCAGCGAAACAAGCTCCCATTAATTTGTCATTATCGTGAGAAAAAATGTTCACGAAAGTAAAATGTTTGTTTTTGTTGTGCATCTGTATCTTATTTTGAAGGGATGTTTAAACATTATCATAGCGACCATAGTCAGAGAGTGTTAGGACAGTGATCGAGAGGAGAGGAGTAGAGCTTGTGAGTCTTTAGTCTGGTTCACATGACATGATTTAAGAATTGTTGGCTGATTTCCCAAACCTCTGTGGGCACAAACGAGGTGATAAATGTACAACAGGTTTGATTGGTTCTTGTGTCCAGCCACATGGCAGGAGCAACACGCCATACACCGATTCCTCTCATGAACATCCCGATTCTTGAAGAAAATCCGTAAAACCCCAACATACCATACATGAATTTAGAATAAACAGACACAGATAATGATGTAGAAGCGTTTTAAGTGATAAGAGATAAAACTAAAAGAAAAGGAACTGGATAAAAGGTGGAGGGACTAGCCACTCCGTTTGCTGCACTATGATTAAGAGGTGAGTTATTTTTTTTCGTGGGTAACAGTTTTAACTGAATAAACATGCATGTTTATTGAGGACATGATAGTTTCCACATATTATCTCCGATGTCCACCGGACTCTCGATTGCGCCATGCCAACTGTTTGGAATTCCCCTCTGTACTTACGGCACCACGTTTTCTGATTAGCTACTGTCATGTTCAACTTTCAACAGGTTGCGTTCTCGCTCCCAGTTAGGTAAACCAGGGCAAAAAATGTAAGATTGTGCCATGGCCGACGTAAAATAGTCAAGTCTTGAATGGTCCACAGTGGTAAAAAGTTTGGGGACCACTGCTTTAGAAGAAAACGAGAAGCTGTACACTCCAAAGATACTGCTGTGACTTTTTTAGCAAACAGTTGTTTGTTTATTTACAAAACTCTCTCCAATTTTTCTTCTCTAGATATCTATAACAACAGATGGCCTGGATGCAGACTTGTGGAAAGATGGCCTTTTCAAATCCAAGGTGACCCGTTACCTGTGTTTCACCAGAGTTTTCTCTAAAGAAAATGTAAGTCAGCTCCCTTTATCAACAAACACAAAGAAAATATTTAGCATGTATGAACACTTAATCTGTCTCTCAAATCAGAAGAGTAACAGAGTTTTCAGTGTCTATGGCAGTACTTCTCAAATAGTGGGGCGCACCCTCCAGGGGGAATGGCGAAGTGTCATTTGGGGCGCGAAAAGTATGACTTTATAATAGCCTATATGCCACAAGTGGTGGTGACGTACTTCCATTTAAATTTTCGCCACATAGATTGCTTCCGGATACCGCTTGCTCCTACTGTTTTTAGCCATATCTGCAAGAGCTGTACCATGAACAAGACACAGAAGTTCAAATATCTTCGAGTTACTGGTACAACAACTGAGTTTTGTTGTGTGCTGTTGTGTCCAATAATTAGCTGGTAGAATCCAGTACTTAGTTTATTATTTTCCTGCTGATATCAAGGCGACAACGGACAGTGTCCAAATTTAGCTATGAAAGCTGACACATGGTTTGTAGCTTGCTGGTATTACAAAACTTGAGGATATTGAAGATCCAGCGTCAGAAATGAGAAGACGGACGTTAAAAGAGATGTGCTTTGTTCACTGGAATAATTTTTTGGAGGAAAATAATGCGGGAGGAAATCTACGGGAACAGGCTGAGAACAGAGGCAGAAGGTAAGTCAATGTTTGTGTATTGATGTATGCGTTTGTATACCGAGTATTCAATTATTTTTAGGTAACTTGTTAGTTGTTTTTGTTTGTTTTTTTAAAATATTACAATTATATAAATTACACTTAACATGCAGTCGAAGCACCCCTCCGATACCAAGCAAGGTAATTTAAGAACAGACGAGGGCAGCAAGCTTCTTCAGCCAGAAAATTATTCAGTTTTTCTTTTCTACCAACACAAAGTAACACAATACAAAACACACAGATAGCCGGTCAAATGAAAGTCCAAAACCTTCCCCTTCTAGCCGTAAAGTGTCACCTCTCCACATAGAAAAAAAACAAAAACATGGAACAAGTCACCATACAAACAGCAAAGAAGGGCTTATTTTCCAAATCCCAAAAATATCATAATCATCATCATCATAACCATCAATCATCAATCATTTTATTTTGGTAAATTGTCCACATTAGACACAGAAAACAACAAAAGAAAAAAAAGCAAGAATAAGCAAATCCATAATTTACCAAAAAAGGAATAGGCTGAAGCTAAGCTTATTCTTGTCTACCCTTTTTTATACTTAACCTACCAAGATATCTTCACAATACATATATATTTCTATGTAACAGTTTAAGATTTTATCATTTGATGTTTTAAAGCTCTTTTAAAGCTCATCAAGAAAGGACATTACTTAAAGTCATCATTCAATTCATTCCATAGTTTCATACCAATAACTGAAATACATCTAGACTTTAAATGGCTCTTTTCTTTTGCACATTCAAATATAAACAAACCTCAAAAATTATATTTATTCTCTCTTAACTTAAATAATTTCTGAAGGAAAACTTTTGTTCAATGCTTTATACATTATTTTCAATATTTTTATATAAACATTTTAATGCATTACTTTGAATAAAGAGTTTATCAGTTTGTTCACAGTATCCCACCTTATTAATAAGCCTTATAGCTTTTTTTTTTGCAACTTAACTAATATATCGATGGTTGTTTTACTTCCCTGAAATGTCCTGAAATGTTCAAGCGTTTCAGGACATCTGAATAATTCTATAAGCATCAGTCCTGCAACAACCGAGGAGCCATTGCTCCTCGGTTGTTGCCTGCGCCCCGGAAGTTGTCTATGGCAAAAAAATCCGAAAGTGCTAAAATGGAAGTGCGTGGCATATAGGCTATTGATATTAATTTTAATTTATTTATTTTTAAGACTAGGTATGGGTTAAAATACTGTTTCACTGGCGATGTTTTCCCATAACATATAATTACCTGGTAATATTTGTACTTTTCTTGTCTATTTAGCATCTTTTAATACAAAAACACGATGGACCGCCATGGCGCTCCAACCACCGGGCTCAGCAAGTTTTTCGGGGAGATACCCTGAGAAATGTTTTTAGACGGCAATGTCATTTTTTAGATGGCAATGTTACCTTTCTCACCAATATACTTACCTCTCTCCACAATGATTAAATGCTGCAATAATTAAAATTTTAGCAGCACAAACCTGCACTAACAAAGCTCTAGAAAAGTAGATCACTATGGTTTGTTTTGGAGCAAGAAGGGAAGCCATCATCGGCCAAAATTATAACTTTTGACCTAAAAAATTATTAATATCTCAGAAACTAAGGAGCACAAACAAAAATGTTAAAGGTACAAACTGCACTAACCACTCAAACGTTTTGCTGGAATTTTTTATGTTACTGGGCTATTGGCTTCATTTGCTTAAAAATATTGCATACAAACATTTATTTTAGGATTTTGAGGTTTTGCACATTATATAAACAACAACTACTAAAGGATCATTCTGTAATCTGTCCTTAATCTGTGGAGACTATAGCAACTTTTGCATTTTTTTCTCCTCTATTAACTTTCATATGGATGTAATATCTATCCTTCTAAGCACTGATGCAGCTCTCTCTGATGTGCTCTGGTTCTGTCACTCTAGAGCCATTTAGGCAATGTTCTTGTAGACATGAAGTTGATTGATATAAAGGACACTTTGCCAGTGGGCTTCATCCCAATCCAGGAGACTGTCGACACTCGTAAGTCAGCAACCAACCAATTGCTCAAAAGTCTCAAAATTATTTTGATCTTCAAATGTTTTAGTGTTGAAACTCAATGACGACAGTAACTGTATTAGTCCTTAATTACAGTCCCCCCTGGTGAACATGGGGATTTTTTTTTCCCTTTTGCGTTTCCTTTCAAAACTTTTGCTTTTCCTCGCAATAATGTACTGATCAGTTTATGCAGAATAATTGAATACTGTTGCCTTTTCTTACTGTGGACACCATACTTTCTGCTTTAATATAAGGTTATGTGTGAGAGACACCGAATTTATTAGTTTACTTGTTTTACTGTTCACGTCTATTATAGTTCACAGGTACCCCACCCAATTTGTTTTGTTTATTATAAGTTAATTCATTCTTCATTGTAGCTTGTTCATTTCTTCAAACCTTGGTTTTAACTTTCAACCCAGTTACTATTATTGGGAGCTTTATGGGTGTTTACTATGTGTAGTTCAGAGTATTGGTAAAGGATGTGGGAGCAGGGAATCGTTTAGGTTTTACTTGATTATTACTTGGTTTTGTGTCTGTCTTGATACTAATATTTTTGAGATGTCATTGAATGCGAATCTTTTATGTGTGTTTCTCAAACGTGCCGTTTGCGAGGCACTATTTTTGTTTGGCTCAGCAGCATTATGCATCAGTCATCTATGCCTCAGCCCAACAACATATAATGGCAAGCCAGCCAGGATAGATGTTTTAAAAGGATTATTGGCTAAAAAAACTGAGACCTTTCGATCCGTTGGCAGGTAATTGTAGCATTGTGCGCCGCTCAAGTGAAACTCTCTCTGACCATCGGACCTGAGATCTAAGAGATTTAAGAACAGTTTTTATCCAAGGGGTATAATAAAAATTTTTGAGCTGATCCTTGTTGTTTTCAAAGGAGCTGGAATCTCTGCAAGACAAAGTCACAGCTGTGCTTTGTCAGTTGGAGGTGTTGGAGGTCAGACTATGACCTCCACTACTTTGGAGCTCATAGTCTGACTTCCAACACATCCTCCAGACTATTGGAGGTCAGTTACCAACTGAAATCCTTTGCTACAAAGGAAGAGCCCACAAAAGGCAATGCCAGATGCCAGCTGATGAAAGTTGTAGAAAATAAGCTCGATGAAGTTGAGCTATACACCAAATGATGCTTTGCAGTTTGTAAAAGAACTTTTATGGGTTATGGGCCAACTGGAAGCTTAAGAGGAGTGTTGTGGAATTCCCCGCTTGTTCGACACAAGTGACAAATATGAAGAGCTGCAAGAAGAGATCAAAGCCATAGCGGAGAAACTCAGACTAACAGAAGCCACTACCAGCTTTAGGCTGGAAGCAAGTTGAGCTCATCAGGAAAAGTACAGAAGGTGAATATTCGCCATGAGTTTCTCATCTGTGTTCAAATAGGAGGGAGTGGGCAGGGTGATCGGCTGTCCTACACTAGCCTGCTGCACTAGATAGAAAATGGACTCTGCAAAGTCCATAGTGAGCTAGAAGTTACTGAAGCGGTGATGAGAGCAATCAACCCTGGTCTCAAACTGCTTGGTATGCTGGAAATAAAGACTGAGTTGATGCTCCAACAGCTAAAGACAATATTAAAAGGACACAGAGAAGATGACACATCTAACTTGTACCAAAAACTGTTTAATCTTTCCCATGACCCAAAAGAGTTAGCTCAAGAATTCTTATTTAGGGCGATAGAGCTTAAAGACAGACTTCTATATGCATCCAAGAATGAAGAAGTGAAAGACTACAGCATGGACCTGGTAAAAACAATGTTTTTTAAGATCAGAGGGTACATGACTGCAAAGATGACATCAAATTTCAGTTCAAGACACTTGACGATCCAAATGTGACTGATGAAACACTGATTGAGAAACTTCATGAAGCTGCCACCTTGAGACAGAGCGGCTAAATAAACAGCCAGAAAACAACAAGGATCAGCAAGCTGCTCACTGAAGACGAACCACACAGCAGATCTCAAACCAAGGATGACAAGACAACAACTCCTGCTCCACTTGAAATGCACACCTTGGTGAACAAACTGAGAAACGAGATTGCCAAGGTAAAGCAGATGTTCTTCGCTTCCCTGAACATCAGTAAGAGGCATGCCGCAAAGAAGGGGTACCCAGAGAAGGAGGGGCAACAGAACCTGCCTGAGCAACAGAAAAGGAGACAACTGCACCCATTGCTTCAAATGTGGCCAGCCCGGTCACATCGCCAGAGGATGCTGAGCTCCACGTCAGCAGCAGAAAAACATCGGAGGGCCACTGCCATGGGACCAGCACTGACCTGGCCATGACATGAGGAGTCCTGCCACTGCCTTTTCTGCCACCGGGAAGAATCAGTTGATGCTCCACTCCAGAGGTGTTCAGGTTGCTCAGCTGCCATGTATTGCTCCAAAGCATGTCAGACACAACACTGGCACAAACATAACCACACACGTAAAGCTGTGAGACTAGCCGAACAATATTTGGGTGAAAAAAATGAAAAGTTTGGACATTTTCTCAGATAAACAGGGCAAGAAATTAGTAAAACTAATTGATAGGCTTAAAATGGTGAGCTGAACTTTGACAATCTACCAGTTGTAGCGCTGTGGGACACTGGTGCACAGGCTACAGTGATAAATGACAATTGGAGGGCAGAGCACTTACCTCACACCTCTATCAGGGGTATAGATGAGCTCTTAGGATCAGAACCATTAAATGGGCTTGCTGCTGCTAGTCAAACAGATATACCATTTATAAGGTGGATTCCAGGACGGAGTCAAGGCTCTAATGAAACTCTTAACAATTCGCTGTCAAACTAACATCCAGGCTGGCAAGAACACCATAATGTTGTTTTGTCCTACTTTGAACACCATAATCCCAGAAGGACTTCATATGCAACAGGTACTGTTTAAAGTGAAAAGGGACAACTCAGCCATGGTCCCAGTGTCTGTTACCAACACCACAGGTCATAATGCAACTTCAAAACCACGTCTCATTCTGGGCCACATTGAGGCGTTAAAAGCAATATATCCAGGTGCTTTGCAACCTGTAGAGAACCAACAAACTAACAACATGACAAGTGATGCAGATGTTAAAGTTTCATTACCTGCCATTAGTGACACGTGATATTTTGGATCCTCCTGTACAATTAGATCATTTAACTGGTGAGCAGTAGCTTGTAGTGAAAACAAAGCTCAGGGAGGAGTGTAAAAGCTTTTGACAAAGATGAAAATGATGTTGATTATATTCCTAGTCTTCGCATGTACATTACTTTCAAAAATCAGACACCAGTTCAAACGACCTACATCAGTGTGCCTAAACCACTCAAGAAGTGAAAACCTAACTGTAGGGCATGATAAACAGGCTGAGTTACAAAATCAAAGTCATCCTATTCTCCACCGAAAGTCTGTGTGAGGAAAAAGTCAGGCGAGCTCAGACTTTGTGTAGATTATTGAGAACTTAATCGCAAATGAGTACCTGACAGACAGCCTATTCCCAGAATACAAGACATACTTGACAGCCTTACAGGTAACTCCTGGTTTACATTATTGGACCAGGGAAAGGCTTATCATCATGGGTTTTTAGATGAGGACAGCCAGCCACTCACAGCATTTTGGCATAATGGACTAGAATGGGATTACTCAGTTCAGCCCCAGCAGAATTTCAGAGAAGCATGGGGTTTGCAGGATGATGTCTGCCTACCTTACTTTGATGACAATGTCTGTTCACAAACAGACATAAACATGCAGTGAATAAATTCATTTTCAGTTTTTCGCACCAAAGAGTTAAGAATAAACACTGAGGCTCTTTAAATGTGTATATATTTGAAATTTGAAATTGACCTTTGTGACTGTATACAAAATAGACCAGCAAATATTGCAGTAAGCATATTGTGAGGGAACGCAAAACTTATTGCGAGTTAACGCAAAAAAAAAATTTCCCCCATGTCCCCTGGGGGGGCTCCGTACTTTATCACTTTGTTGTGTTTATTAAAGATTGTTTTGGTAGTACAGCGATGCTATGTCTTTTTTGTTCCTTACAGAAGAGCAGGCCTTCAGAAAGAGGCGGCTTTGTATCAAGTTTATTCCGAGAGATTCAACAGAGGCAGCTATCTGTGACATCCGTATCTTGGGACGAACCAAACAGGCCCCTCCTCAGTATACCTTTATTGGGTGAGTAATCTGATATCAGTTGTCAACCTTTGGGCAACAAATTATAAAAAAAAAAGTCTGGGCTAATGTACTGTTTACCACACAAATATTTAGACAGGATATGTTGTAGCTGATGAGTTGTCACACTCAGAGTTCTGGTAGGAGTGAATGTATGAAGCTGTCTGTAACTGCAGCACCCATCAACTGTATGTTTTGTTGGTGTCAATTCGCAACAGAATATTCTGCTGTTAACATTTTATAGTCATATAAAATATGAAAAACTTTGAAATTGCATTGCCATTGTTGGTCACATCGGGAACATTTGTAAGTTGTTTTTAGTATCATAAAAATTTCAGAAACGTTCAAATGTGAGATCTAAAAAAATACTAGAAAATTGGTGTGTTCTTACGTGTAACTTTGACACATTTACTGATCCTTTGTAATCGGTGTTGTAAAAATATTCTGTCCCTGAGCTGCTCCAGGTTGAATCACTTAAAAGCTATACAGTGTAAAAGATTTATTTTGAAATTGTAAGCAGAGGTTGGAGATGGTCAAACTTAGATGACCTCTGTTGAGCCCTGGAAACATTTTTATTATTATCTTTAAAATGATATTGGGAAAAACAAAAACAAATTATTTTACTGCACAAACTTAGTCGAGTTGATTTACACCAAATTTGTTTGAATTCATAAATGAAAGGGGTGGGGGGCTAGTTGACCTTTCATGACTTTTCATGACTTCTGGAAACGTTTCTTCATATCTTCATAAAGATAGCGTCACAAACAACAAATTTTGCTGTACAAAAACAGCACCAACGTAGCAGAAACATTTAAGACCAATTTTGTTAGATTTGAAGAAGGTGAGTGGGGCAACTTCACTCAAGTAGAAACAAGGACAGTAACTAGAGACTTTTCAGCTTATCATTAAAAATCCAAATGATGATAGTGAAAATTGATTTCACTATGATGTAATCTTGACACAATATTGGTGCTGAAAAGTGTAATTTTAGTATCAGTTGTGATTAACCCACATTTTCATCTTTTTTTCCATTTTCTTGGTGTCCCCATTGTTCATATTCACTGAAATCTACATTAAGTTATTAAAAAAAAGGCAGCAGAGATCTGTTCATTTGGGCAAATATTTTTTACCAAATAGGGTTTGAATTTATAACAACTGAGAAATATTCTCATTAAAATTAGTAACTCTGAGATTGTAACATATTCAATTTACCTACTGTGGAGTAGTTCATTTAAATGTTTATTTTTGGTAATTTAGAGTTTTGTTGTGTGGGCTATTTAATTAGATAAGGTTTTTCTTCTGTTGTCTCTCTGTGTTCCATTTAATTGCAGGGAACTCAACAACATGGGAATCTGGTATCGCATGGGGAACGTTGATCGTGCTCAAGAACCAATGCACACACCAACAACCATCAATGTCCAAAATGCTAATTCCTCCACTGTGCCAGTCTCAGCTGCTCCTATTCCCAAGTATGTCCAGTGAACTCAGGGTTTCTCCCAGAAAACATGTTAAGTAGGGCAGTTAAGGTAGTTCACAATGCTCCACTGTGCTTTTGTTTTAAAAATGCTACTAGTAAACAGGAAATGTGAAAATAAGATTAGGTAATTATGTGTTATTTCAAGACTTTATTGACAATTCTCAAAACACTAAATATATAACATAAAAAGAATACAATTAATTAAGCTAAATATTCTTAGGGTACCAAATTCAAGTATGCATTGTATTGTATTAAATATTCCTGTGTTTTACTAAATCCTAGAGTTTTTTTTAAAGACACAGTGGCTCTTGCTAAAAATATTTAAAAAATCTATAATTTTCTGAAAATGAGCCCCTATAGCTGATGGATGTGACTGCTGACTGAATAGATAAGGCTCCAGGAATAACTAAGCCTGGCTGTTAGCCTGGTGTGGAGCAGGCGAGCTGCACAGAATAAATTGCCATGGTAACTTATGTGTTGTCACTTTTGGGCCCTGAATCAAGGCTTAATTAATCCAGGATATCTGGAAAATCCTAGCTTAATCTTCTGTCCTGGTTTTTGAAATAGCCTTCAGCAAGGCAAACTGCTTTGGTCATTTTTGCAGGCATATTTCCATGACCCTGCCAGCTAGCTTCAGAGGAAAGACCACCACCAGACCAGACTATGAGCATCAGAACTCCAATCTGTATGCTATCTCAGGTCTGTAAGACTTTCTTCTTTTTCTAAAAAAGATATTTAAGTCCAAATTATTTTCCTGGATTAAAATGGTAATCAGGGAATAGTTTGATTTATTCCATGAATTTAGAATCTTTGTCTACACTAGCCCTGGCCAAAGTTTAGCTGGGAGGCATTGGCTTCTTTTAGAGGTGCTGCCTAAACAAGCTTTTACTTTGATATAAATACATAAACACCCATGCATATAACCTTGCAAATATAATATCCATTGTTAACACGTTGCAACATGTTATCAATGGATTTATCAATACAATATAAATAGGTAGATGTATAAAACGTTGAGTAATTATGCTGACATTTGCATAAGTTTAGAGTTCTTAGAGTTCTATACATACGTTGCAGAACTCTAAGAATCTAATGTTTCCAAGATGTGAAGTCTATTTCTTTAGATGCAAAATCAATCTACTCAAGTAAGAGTAGCAATATTAGTATTGCTACTCTTACTTGAGTCAGAGTAGCAATACTAATATTGCTACTCTTACTTGAGTAGCAATATTAATTACCCAATCTTACTTGAGTAGATTGATTTTGCAGCAACCTAATATGTCAACCTAATATATGCAGCAATACTAATATTAGTATTTCTGCATTTTTTCCTCAAAAAGTTACTCAAGTAAATCTAACCAGTATTACAGGCTTTTGAACATGAACAACAACAATATTAGTTTCCTGTACTTATTAACAAGCTTTAAACAAACATCTGTATCCAGCAGCATTACTTAGCTATTAATGGTTAGTTTGGGTGAAAAAAAAAATAATGCAAAGTTCGCTGCCTTTTGCTGGTTTGCTGCCATGATTTTAACGCACCTGCGCAGCTCTGAACAGCAACACCTGTGTTGCTGAAACACAGGTGTAAAACCAGCACGAGCATCTTAGCACTCATGTTGCATTTAAAGGTGGCTTGGAAAAACACATCGCAACATGTTAACAATGGATTAAACTGTTCTAACAGCTAAGAAAAGGTTGTGGTACAGATATGGAAAGTGCGGGAGCCCCTACTGTATCAAATCGAGATGGAAGGAGAGAAAATTGGCTACTCTGATAAAAGGGAAGAAAACAGCTTCCAGTTCCGGGAGTGGGGCACAGCTGCTTCGGTGGGCGGACAATGGCCCATGCCACAGGGTCTGGTTAAGATATATAGTTGAGGTCAGTATTCAGTTGTCACTGAATACTGTTGGTTTCATTAGTTTGTATTATTAAGAGACATTTTTTTAAATGAAAATGTTTGAGACAGTTTGTACCAATACCAGCTCTGGAGTGTTTGACATACCATAAAACATTCTTTAGTAATTAAATTTTGAAGAACAAAAGTGATTCTATTGTATCATTTCTAGCTTGAGGCATCTCTTTGTTATGGCTCTAAAAGCTGCAGATTTGTAAGAATTTTCTCTTTTTCAGCTATGGATGGAGTGCCTTTTATGATTTCTGAGAAGTTTGCCTGCACCTCTCCTGAAGTAAGTAGTTAGAGCTGAAAGATCTCTGTGACAAGTTGATTTATGGATACTAGTATCTGTACATCTTTAGCAATGAACCGAAACATGAGCTTGAAAAATGTCGTTCTAAGTTTTAGTACAGAATGTGTACAACAAAGTCTACCTGTGAAACTGCATGCCAAAACATGTTAAGAACATTATGATGTGGGAAAATGGGAAAAGGATTGTGTGATGCTGCTGACATCTGTATTAAATTCATTGTTTAATGGATTAAAAAGATATTTGGCTAGGAAAGGCATGAAGTGAAACATTGGGATAGCGCTGGTGTGTCTTAACGAGCCTCCTGTGTCCTGTTCCAGCTGCAGCAAGTGGATCTGATGGGTATTACTATCAAGTCTCTAGCTGAGATTGAAAAAGAGGTGAGGAAAGAAACGGTTTCTTAATTTCAGAGTGAATAAATCTTCATTATTCACTCTGAAATAATGAAGAAATAATAATGAAAAGTGAATAAGTCTTCATTACTTATTCACTTTTCATTGTTCACTGTACTGAAATAATGCTGTGTCCAACACTAAACTCTCATGTTTGCTATTATTTCATTGTATTTATCTTAATTTTTAGCACATTTTCACATATTTCTTGACAATGGTATCTCAAGAAATGTATTTAAAACAGACATTTAATACAAAATAGCAGATCAGTCTCTATGGGCAGAAACCTTCAGTATATAATCCAGAGACCTTTCACTTCATTTGCTTAGAGGACTTCTTTTGTACAGATGCCCTTAGTGGACATAGGGAAAAAATCTTTTCCGTTGAGTGTTCTCGCAAAAGTATTCCTTTACAATAAATTAGCAAATATACCCTCGTCTATTTTATATACAGTAACAGTTATAAATGTTAGTTTAAAATTAAATACATATTTAAAGAGCCTAGTGAAAACATTTTTAAGTCTATGGTACAACAAAACATTGGAAATCAATCTGCATGTTAATGTTTGCAAGTTTGAGATGGGGCTCCACATGAAAATGGCCCATTATTAACCATTCAGGCTACCAAGATGAAAAAGACACAATTAAAACTATCAGATTACTTTTCTGCCAATACTCAAAAAATATTGAGCATTGGCAGAAAATACTCAATATATAGAAAATAATCATCCAAATAGTTTGGATGTATTTTTTATGTCTGTCCTTCTTTGGGAAAATTTTAGTTTATATTTTAAAAGGGATGGAAAGAGATGAAAAGCCTGTTTTACTTTTGCTTCTTGCACATAGATTTGTGGTGCATTATTATCCTCAAGAAAAACATATAAAACTGCAGATATCTCAGAAATTAGATATTAACATATGTGGAAAGACCTAACAAAAGTCTTATAATGCAGCAAAACGACTAATTATACAGAATAACATATAATTCTGTATTCTGTATAATTAAATACAAGCGAACACAAACATTTGATCAGTTATCGCAAAAGAGTAAAAATCTCCCACCGCTTCTTGGGCGCTCCATACCTTAGAAACATCTAGAACAGGCAACAGTTTATATTGAGTCTAATTACTCATCTTTTAGTCCTTATTTATTATATGCAGTGCTTTGCAAAAGTATTCAGCCCTCTTGAACTTTTCAACCTTTTGCCGTTTTTCAGGCTTCAGACATAAAGATCTATTGATCATTGTTGATTTGTTGTTTATTTTGTGAAGAATCAACAAGTTGAACACAATCCTGAGGTGGAATAAAATTTATTGGATATTTTAAACATTTTTAACAAATTAAAAACTGCAAAGTGGGGCTTGCAATATTATTCGGCCCCCTTGCATTGATACTTTGTAGCGCCACCTTTTGCTGCGATTACTGCTGTAAGTCGCTTGGGGTATGTCTATCAGTTTTGCACATCAAGAGACTGAAATTCTTGCCCATTCTTCCTTGCAAAATAGTTGGAGCTCAGCGAGGTTGGATGGAGAGCGACGTGAACAGCAGTTTTCAGCTCTTTCCACAGATTCTTGATTGGATTCAGGTCTGTACTTTGTCTTGGGAATTTAACACCTGGATATATCTATTTGTGAACCATTCCATTGTAGGTTTTGCTTTATGTTTGGGATCATTGTCTTGTTGGAAGAAAAATCTCTGTCCCAGTCTCAGGTCTTTTGCAGACTCCAACAGGTTTTCTTCCAGAATGGTTCTGGATTTGGCTCCATCCATCTTCCCATCAATCCCTGCTGAAGAAAAGCAGGCCCAAACCATGATGCTGCCACCACCATGTTTGGGGATGGTGTGTTAAGAGTGAACTGTGTTGCTTTTATGCCAAACATATCGTTTTGCATTGAGGCCAAACAATTTCAGTTTCATCTGACCAGAGTACCTTCTTCCACATGTTTGGTGTGGAAGAAGGGATAGCCCTTTAAACCTTCTTGGTGGATTTGCAGTGGTCTGAAACTCCTTCCATTTCAATATGATGGTTTGCTCAGTGCTCCTTGGGAAATCTTTTTGTATCCAAATCCAGCTTTAAACGTCTCCACAGCAGTATCTCAAATCTGCCTGGTGTGTTCCTTGGGCTTCATGATGTTCTCTTCACTTTAAACACAACTCTGAGACTAGCACAGAGCAGGTGCATTTTCACAGGACTTGATTATACATAGGTGGATTGTGTTTATCATCATCAGTTATTTAGGACAACATTGGATCATCCAGAAGTCCTCACTGAACTTCTGGAGCTGCACTGAAAGTAAAGGGGCCGAATAATATTGCAGGCCCCATTTTGCAATTTATTTGTTGAAAAAGTTTAAAATATCCAATAAATTTTGTTCCATCTCACGACATTGTCCTATTTGTTGTTTATTCTTCACAAAATAATAAAAATTTTAGATTCTTGAAGCCTGAAAAGCAGCAAAAGGTTGAAAAGTTCCAAGGAGGCCGAATACTTTCGCAAGCCACAATGTGTACATGACATCAGAAATATAGATATTTGCAACTCTAAGGACAAATCACAGACATGTTAAATATGCTTATTTGACTGTATTTTTTAAGTAAATTGAATATCTGCTATCAAATAGTGTAATCTCTCTGTTTTTGCTTGATGACGGCCTCTGTGTCCAGAAGTGAGGATTAATAAATCGTCCTTGTAGTTACACATTATGTCCACAAGATGCCACTTTAGTAGTACCAACACTCACAAAAAAAACTAAACCAAAATTTATTTACCACATATAATTGTCTAATTGATGTGTTGTTGACCAATACTGACACATTTTTGGAGGTGAAAATTTTTCTTTTTTTTTCTTCTTTTTTTATCTTTTAGTATGATTACAGCTTCCGCACTGAGCACAGTGCAGCAGCTCGCCTCCCTCCCAGTCCAACACGAACCTCCTTGAGCTCTGAAGCCTGATGCACCAGTTCTTAGCAACTCTCTAGGCAATAAATTCCAGCAAGAGAGACATGTTGATGTTGAATACCTGCCCACACCAAACAGTGAACCACCAACCTCTGTAGGGCGAAGCTGGAGCCATGCATACAACACAGAGGAGCTGGCTGTTAAGAGGACTGAGATTATGGATTTATTTTGCTGCAAATGTTGGAGAATCTCGGTCGTACACATTACATCCAAAACAAAGGATGTTTTATAAACATGGTGAAATCATCCCAAATAGTGATGGAGAACGTCTGTTGAGCTTTTATTATTCTCTAAAAGCAAATGCGCCAACTTCTAAAGTACCTGCTGCTGTGTTCTGAATCAACGCATCAACAGGGAAGTTCAAGTTTTTCTGGTCTGTATGGAAAAATACATTGTCCTCTTCTTGTTACTGTTGTATACTGTTTTGACTGTAAGTGCACTTTGTGTTTGGGACTTTTGGTGTGCTTCCGTTTTGCCTGAGATATTTTGTAACCACTTTCAATATTTTTTACATGAGCCAACATCTTGTGAGCCACTGTTACAGTTTGCTAACTCCTATCATGGCTTCCACTGCTTAGTTACCAAAACCACTATGAAGTCTCAGCTAAATTGGCTGAATGCTAAATGTGGCTGACTATTAACATTAGAGTAAATACATCGCCTTCATACTTTTTTTCTTCATTCTGTAGGGAAAAAAATAGCATGTTTGTTTTACTGGTTAAACAACTTCCTGAGTTGACTTCAACCGCTCTGTGATGTATTTCAGGACGTCTTTAAACAATTAAAAAGACTTTTCAGAATATGTATTTTTAATTGTTTCTTAAAAAAACAATTGAGTTTATGGATCCTGTATAGAAAAAATCATGCTTCGACTTTGGATTCAGATTCCACCTTCTAAAGCATATGTTTGTTTATAATCCCCAGATTTCTTATGGTCGTCTGTAATATTGATATTATAGGAATTTGTAACAACAGCAAGAGGCCAAATGAGTTTTCAGTCATTACGCCCTTGTATTAATTACTAACAACATTTAAAGGAGTAGATTCATTCACTGACAGATATTTTTTATTTAATGTTACAGTCTGCTGCTGAGGGAGACATTTTATTCCTTGTTTTTTAGTTGTCTGTTTAAGCTTTGGATTCTTATGCTCAAGCTTTTATGAGCCCACAGTCACCCTGAGTTAGTCTGTGAATATTATTCACTGTGTTTTGATGTATTTCAACTCCAAATGTATTGGTAATAACCTGGCAATTTTCTGTTACTTAACTCACTCCAAATACTTAGGTATTAAATGTTTGGTATTTGCAGTTTTATCAAGTCACTACACAGAATAACAAAATTTTCTACTGTCTGTATAATTTATTAGTTTATTGTGACCATGTTTTCTGTTAGGCTCATTTCTGTTCATTAGAGAAAACAAAACCTGGAAAAAAGCCCTTGGTTCTGTTGATATTGTTATCAGGATAAAAAAAAGTCTGTGCTTGCTCTCAGTTAAGATATGTGTTATTTTTTAGATTTAGTGTTCACTTCAAAGACTGGCTAAACAGTTAACAGCTCACTGACTCTGTTTTCAAAGTGTTTGTTAGTCTGCTTGCATGGTGACCCAATAAAGCATCAGAAGATTTAGAATATGTTTTAGGGTAATAAAATAAGATTTTGTTTCTCAAACAGATTTTATTCTGTATAAACAAATCAACTTTAGTGGAAATTGTGTTACAAGGATGGTCTATTAAAATGTGATAAACATCAACATATCAAAGGGTTTTTTTCTTCTCACAAAAGAACAGATAAAGATCTGGTAACCTTGAGCCCTTCATTTCTGTATATTTCAGTTAATATTTTTCATACTCACCCAAGCAGCCAGACCTTTTCATAATTTTTGGTGTATTCCACATAACTATTGCCAAAATGATTTGCTCACCTGACTTGACTGGCACATGAGCTTAAGTACCATCCCTTTCCTAATCCACAGGGTTCAATTTCATGTTGATCCCACTTTGTGGCTAGAAAGGCTTAAACTTTTCTGGGAAGGCTGTCCACAAGGTTTATGAGTGTTTATGGGAATTTTTGACAATTCTTCCAGAAGCGCATTTGTAAGGTCACATACTGATGTTGGACAAGAAACCTGGCTCTCAGGAACTGCTATAATTCATCCCAAAGGTGTTCTGTCAGGTAGAGATCAGGACTCTGTCAAGTTCATTCACACCAGACTGCCATTCATGCCTTTAAGGGCTTTGCTTTGTGCACTGGTGCACAGTCATGTTGAAAGAGGAAGAGTGCAGCTGCAAGCTTTTCTCACAAAGTTGGGACCATGGAATTGTCCAAAAAGTCTTGGTATGCTGAAGCATTCGGAGCTCCTTTCACTAGAACTAAGGAGTAAATCCCAGCTCCTGAAAAGCAACCCCACACTATAATCCCTCTCCACCAAACTTTACACTTGGCACAATGGTGTTCCAATTTTGATTGGAACACCGTCTTGCAAATATGCTCACATTTTGCCAAAAGTGAGCAAATACCTTTGGCAATAGAGTGTGTAACATTAAAAGAAAAAGAAAAGAAAAAAAGATGAAGCTTACATCATAATCATTCAGTACAATTATATATAAACAGTTGTCAATATATTCTAATCTATACATATGAATCAAAATCTGAAAAAAAATAAGAGTAGCATTTTTGATAATAGAATTTTACTTAAAATAGGAAAAACAAATCACAGATGTATTATCAGTATATACAGGACAAATGTTGGCAATATTAGTTGTAATATGGGTAGAAGACATAAAATCATTTACAAACAATTTGTTCAGACTGTGGTGGTGTACGGGCAAAAGCACAACCCACGTTTTGAGGCCTTAGTCCCGGTGGCGGTGGTCACGGGTTCAATTCCCGGCCTGGCGACATTTACCGCATGTCTTCCCCCTCTCTCATTACCCCATGTTCTGTCGTATTACTTTCAAATAAAGGCCACTAGAGCCAACAAAACCTTAAAAAAAACATTTGATTGGTGGTCAAAATGCATTGATAAAAGTTGACTGGCAATGAATTGATTCTGCCTCTTTTTAAAGTAAAAAAAATAGCCAGTAAAATGAGACTCAGTCATTTTAAACTCAGTGCAGTAGTTTGACCAACAAAAATAAAATCTATAAAATATAATTTGTTCTTCTTGAATACCTCTCCACATCAGTGCAACAGTTTTACCTACAAATATCATTAAAAATTATGCTTTTCACATCCAACAGACAACTTAGCTCTTCACTGATAACTCAGTCTCACTGTCCAGCCCTGCATTCAGCAACTTCATTTTCCACTTTTTAGTCAAACATGAGCCATGGCTCTCAAAAGGTTGAAAAACACAAACTGTTGCAAAAAAAAAGCCAAAATATTTTTATGTCCTGTCATTTCAGCCATAAATTAAAATGTAAATATTTACTATTACGTGTTTCTGTCTCTCTGTCACTCTGACTCTCTGCAGCCTTATGTCCCTGCATGGATTCATGGATTTACAACTGACACTACAATAATTTACAGTATCAGAATGTGAATTAATTATATATAAAAACATACATTAAAATACAGAATGAGAATTTCAGATGCATACTTTATTATACATTTCAACTCTACTTACTGTGTAACCCAGTGGTTCTTAACCCGGGTTGGATCGAACCCCAGGGATTCAATGAGTTGGTCTTAGGCGGCGGCTCTTCCATGGAGGTAAAGACATGCATGTGTGAAGTCGTGATGACTCGCCCCGCTTTGCCGTCACTTGGATTTAACATGGGACATGGGTGGATTCCAGTGATTCATGAACATAAAACTATCTAAGACGAAAAAAGCTTTCTCTCAGTGAAATAAGTCAAAAATGCACCACTGTGTAATTTTCTGCAAATTCATGAAAGTTCAGCTTCATAATCTTTGAAACAGCTTAGAAGTACTGAGAAGCAGTAAATTTTAGTGTTTTGAACAATTCCAGTATTGATCTCAGTGAAAGAAGTCAAAAATAAGACTAAGACGAAAAAAGCTTTCTCTCAGTGAAATAAGTCAAAAATGCACCACTGTGTAATTTTCTGCAAATTCATGAAAGTTCAGCTTCATAATCTTTGAAACAGCTTAGAAGTACTGAGAAGCAGTAAATTTTAGTGTTTTGAACAATTCCAGTGTTGATCTCAGTGAAAGAAGTCAAAAATAAGACTAAGACGAAAAAAGCTTTCTCTCAGTGAAATAAGTCAAAAATGTACCACTGTGTAATTTTCTGCAAATTCATGAAAGTTCAGCTTCATAATCTTTGAAACAGCTTAGAAGTACTGAGAAGCAGTAAATTTTAGTGTTTTGAACATTCCCAGTGTTGATCTCAGTGAAAGAAGTCAAAAATAAGACTAAGACGAAAAAAGCTTTCTCTCAGTGAAATAAGTCAAAAATGCACCACTGTGTAATTTTCTGCAAATTCATGAAAGTTCAGCTTCATAATCTTTGAAACAGCTTAGAAGTACTGAGAAGCAGTAAATTTTAGTGTTTTGAACAATTCCAGTGTTGATCTCAGTGAAAGAAGACTAAGACGAAAAAAGCTTTCTCTCAGTGAAATAAGTCAAAAATGCACCACTGTGTAATTTTCTGCAAATTCATGAAAGTTCAGCTTCATAATCTTTGAAACAGCTTAGAAGTACTGAGAAGCAGTAAATTTTAGTGTTTTGAACAATTCCAGTGTTGATCTCAGTGAAAGAAGTCAAAAATAAGACTAAGACGAAAAAAGCTTTCTCTCAGTGAAATAAGTCAAAAATGCACCACTGTGTAATTTTCTGCAAATTCATGAAAGTTCAGCTTCATAATCTTTGAAACAGCTTAGAAGTACTGAGAAGCAGTAAATTTTAGTGTTTTGAACAATTCCAGTGTTGATCTCAGTGAAAGAAGTCAAAAATAAGACTAAGACGAAAAAAGCTTTCTCTCAGTGAAATAAGTCAAAAATGCACCACTGTGTAATTTTCTGCAAATTTATGAAAGTTCAGCTTCATAATCATTGAAACAGCTTAGAAGTACTGAGAAGCAGTAATTTTAGTGTTTTGAACAATTCCAGTGTTGATCTCAGTGAAAGAAGTCAAAAATAAGACTAAGACGAAAAAAGCTTTCTCTCAGTGAAATAAGTCAAAAATGCACCACTGTGTAATTTTCTGCAAATTCATGAAAGTTCAGCTTCATAATCTTTGAAACAGCTTAGAAGTACTGAGAAGCAGTAAATTTTAGTGTTTTGAACAATTCCAGTGTTGATCTCAGTGAAAGAAGTCAAAAATAAGACTAAGACGAAAAAAGCTTTCTCTCAGTGAAATAAGTCAAAAATGCACCACTGTGTAATTTTCTGCAAATTCATGAAAGTTCAGCTTCATAATCTTTGAAACAGCTTAGAAGTACTGAGAAGCAGTAAATTTTAGTGTTTTGAACAATTCCAGTGTTGATCTCAGTGAAAGAAGTCAAAAATAAGACTAAGACGAAAAAAGCTTTCTCTCAGTGAAATAAGTCAAAAATGCACTACTGTGTAATTTTCTGCAAATTCATGAAAGTTCAGCTTCATAATCTTTGAAACAGCTTAGAAGTACTGAGGAGCAGTAAATTTTAGTGTTTTGAACATTCCAGTGTTGATCTCAGTGAAAGAAGTCAAAAATAAGACTAAGACGAAAAAAGCTTTCTCTCAGTGAAATAAGTCAAAAATGCACCACTGTGTAATTTTCTGCAAATTCATGAAAGTTCAGCTTCATAATCTTTGAAACAGCTTAGAAGTACTGAGCAGTAAATTTTAGTGTTTTGAACATTCCAGTGTTGATCTCAGTGAAAGAAGTCAAAAATAAGACTAAGACGAAAAAAGCTTTCTCTCAGTGAAATAAGTCAAAAATGCACCACTGTGTAATTTTCTGCAAATTTATGAAAGTTCAGCTTCATAATCTTTGAAACAGCTTAGAAGTACTGAGAAGCAGTATATTTTAGTGTTTTGAACAATTCCAGTGTTGATCTCAGTGAAAGAAGTCAAAAATAAGACTAAGACGAAAAAAGCTTTCTCTCAGTGAAATAAGTCAAAAATGCACCACTGTGTAATTTTCTGCAAATTCATGAAAGTTCAGCTTCATAATCTTTGAAACAGCTTAGAAGTACTGAGAGCAGTAAATTTTAGTGTTTTGAACATTCCAGTGTTGATCTCAGTGAAAGAAGTCAAAAATAAGACTAAGACGAAAAAAGCTTTCTCTCAGTGAAATAAGTCAAAAATGCACCACTGTGTAATTTTCTGCAAATTTATGAAAGTTCAGCTTCATAATCTTTGAAACAGCTTAGAAGTACTGAGAAGCAGTATATTTTAGTGTTTTGAACAATTCCAGTGTTGATCTCAGTGAAAGAAGTCAAAAATAAGACTAAGACGAAAAAAGCTTTCTCTCAGTGAAATAAGTCAAAAATGCACCACTGTGTAATTTTCTGCAAATTCATGAAAGTTCAGCTTCATAATCTTTGAAACAGCTTAGAAGTACTGAGGAGCAGTAAATTTTAGTGTTTTGAACATTTCCAGTGTTGATCTCAGTGAAAGAAGTCAAAAATAAGACTAAGACGAAAAAAGCTTTCTCTCAGTGAAATAAGTCAAAAATGCACCACTGTGTAATTTTCTGCAAATTCATGAAAGTTCAGCTTCATAATCTTTGAAACAGCTTAGAAGTACTGAGAGCAGTAAATTTTAGTGTTTTGAACAATTGCAGTGTTGATCTCAGTGAAAGAAGTCAAAAATAAGACTAAGACGAAAAAAGCTTTCTCTCAGTGAAATAAGTCAAAAATGCACCACTGTGTAATTTTCTGCAAATTCATGAAAGTTCAGCTTCATAATCTTTGAAACAGCTTAGAAGTACTGAGAAGCATTAATTTTAGTGTTTTGAACAATTCCAGTGTTGATCTCAGTGAAAGAAGTCAAAAATAAGACTAAGACGAAAAAAGCTTTCTCTCAGTGAAATAAGTCAAAAATGCACCACTGTGTAATTTTCTGCAAATTCATGAAAGTTCAGCTTCATAATCTTTGAAACAGCTTAGAAGTACTGAGAAGCAGTATATTTTAGTGTTTTGAAATTCCAGTGTTGATCTCAGTGAAAGAAGTCAAAAATAAGACTAAGACGAAAAAAGCTTTCTCTCAGTGAAATAAGTCAAAAATGCACCACTGTGTAATTTTCTGCAAATTCATGAAAGTTCAGCTTCATAATCTTTGAAACAGCTTAGAAGTACTGAGAAGCAGTAATTTTAGTCTTTTGAACAATTCCAGTGTTGATCTCAGTGAAAGAAGTCAAAAATAAGACTAAGACGAAAAAAGCTTTCTCTCAGTGAAATAAGTCAAAAATGCACCACTGTGTAATTTTCTGCAAATTCATGAAAGTTCAGCTTCATAATCTTTGAAACAGCTTAGAATTACTGAGAAGCAGTAAATTTTAGTGTTTTGAACATTCCAGTGTTGATCTCAGTGAAAGAAGTCAAAAATAAGACTAAGACGAAAAAAGCTTTCTCTCAGTGAAATAAGTCAAAAATGCACTACTGTGTAATTTTCTGCAAATTCATGAAAGTTCAGCTTCATAATCTTTGAAACAGCTTAGAAGTACTGAGAGCAGTAAATTTTAGTGTTTTGAACATTTCCAGTGTTGATCTCAGTGAAAGAAGTCAAAAATAAGACTAAGACGAAAAAAGCTTTCTCTCAGTGAAATAAGTCAAAAATGCACCACTGTGTAATTTTCTGCAAATTCATGAAAGTTCAGCTTCATAATCTTTGAAACAGCTTAGAAGTACTGAGGAGCAGTAATTTTAGTGTTTTGAACATTTCCAGTGTTGATCTCAGTGAAAGAAGTCAAAAATAAGACTAAGACGAAAAAAGCTTTCTCTCAGTGAAATAAGTCAAAAATGCACCACTGTGTAATTTTCTGCAAATTTATGAAAGTTCAGCTTCATAATCTTTGAAACAGCTTAGAAGTACTGAGAAGCAGTATATTTTAGTGTTTTGAACAATTCCAGTGTTGATCTCAGTGAAAGAAGTCAAAAATAAGACTAAGACGAAAAAAGCTTTCTCTCAGTGAAATAAGTCAAAAATGCACCACTGTGTAATTTTCTGCAAATTCATGAAAGTTCAGCTTCATAATCTTTGAAACAGCTTAGAAGTACTGAGAAACAGTAAATTTTAGTGTTTTGAACAATTCCAGTGTTGATCTCAGTGAAAGAATTCAAAAATAAGACTAAGACGAAAAAAGCTTTCTCTCAGTGAAATAAGTCAAAAATGCACCACTGTGTAATTTTCTGCAAATTCATGAAAGTTCAGCTTCATAATCTTTGAAACAGCTTAGAATACTGAGAAGCAGTAAATTTTAGTGTTTTGAACAATTCCAGTGTTGATCTCAGTGAAAGAAGTCAAAAATAAGACTAAGACGAAAAAA